CTCTCCCCCTCTCTCTCGCACCTCTCACAGACAGCACGGGATGACATGCCGACGAAAAGCATTCTAAAGCTTGAATACACCGATGGCCTGTTGGATGCCGTCGTAGACGACCGTGTTGTCGGCGGGGATGTACTGCTTGGTGATGAGTTTGATGGCCTCCTGCGCCACCACACCGCCCATGAGCGCCGTGGTGGGTGGCAGACTGGCGTCGCCGGAGCGCATGAGCTCCTTGAGGCTGTCCTCGATCTTTTCCCACTCGTCGCCATCCTCGGCAATGCCATACTTGGTGGCGACGATCTCGCGCGCCATGCTGAGCAACTCGGCCTCATCCGCCTTGGTGTCGACCACGGCGGCAGCGTCGCGCATCTTGACGTCCAGGTGGCTGGCGTCCGTCTCGCCAGTGGGGGTTTGCGACTTTTGCCTCTTGGCAGCACGACGGTCGTCTGGCAGGCTGTCGCCGTTCGGGACGGCCACGGGCGTCGAGAGCGGTGCAGCGTAAGCGACGCCCGGATATCTGCCGTGGCTCTCGCAAAACTGGTCGACGGCAGCGAACGCAATGTGATGTTGGAAAGTGCACGGATTGACGGGGTCCAGGAAGGCCATCATGGCCGCTTCTTGATTCGGAGCCTCGTAACGCTGCTTCTCGCTGCGGCCGCGAATGAGCTTCAGATAGCCGGCGTGCTTGACAAACGCCTCGATCTCGTCGTCGCCGATGCTGCCTTCCACCCCTGCAGCAGCACACGTCTGCGAGACAATTCGCTTAAAGTCGGCCAGATCCTGTAGTGCCTTGCCGCGGTACGTGTTCTGCAGCTTGATGTATGCCGCCGATGTCGCCTTCATGTCTGGAATCGAGCCGGACAGCGGCAACGAGTGAGTGGGAGAGGCCGCGACAGACTCGCGCAGCGCGCGCACCAGGATCCAAAAGTTGCTCGACGACGCCGAGAGGTTCGTGCCTGCTGCGTCGTTCATCATGGCCTCGATCTCGTCGGGCACACCACCGCCACCGACACCCTTGGAGGCGAGCGGACGCCAGAGATGCTTGCCGAGCGCCGCCACCGCCTCGTCAAAGTTCTCGGCATCCGCATTGCCAGCCAGTCTAGATGCGTTTATGAGCTTGACAAACGCGTCGCGATCTTTGGAGCTTGGCAGGGCGCCGTTGTTCTGTATGACACCATCGAGCGATATCAGTCATCCGACCACGAGCCATCGATGGGGATAGTTCTTTCGCTAATGAACCTACCAAGGATTGCCACTCGGCAAGCTTTTTGACGAGAATGATGGGGAAAGGAATGTGGCTGTGTTCCATGGTGTCGGTGGTATTGAGGTCGAAGTGCTCAGCCAGCGTTACGAGCTCTGGGAAGGGCCGTGTGATGCGCAGATCGACGACGCTGTCCGGATGTGTCTCGATGATGCCAAGCTCCTTGAGGCTGATCTGCATGTGGGCCAGCATACCGGCACTGCGCACGCGCAGCAACGGCACTTGGGGCGAAGGCGGTTCCAAGGACCAGAGCAGCTCCGACAAGGCCAAGTCGAAAGAGCGTGTCTGATTGACCGAGATGACCAGGGTGAAGCTGGCAAAGAAGCTGGGATGCGCCTGAAGCATCGACATCGAATTCTGGAGCTTGGCCTCGGACGCGACGCTGGAGTTCATCTCGGTGAGCAGGCGGCACATCTCCTCCGCCGCATACTTGCCCTCGCTCTCGCCCGGCTGGAGGAAGAAGTTGACGCCCATATCGGCGGCATCGACGATCGCATCGTCCAGCAGCACAAACGAGCCGATGCCCGGCAGCACGAGGTTCTTGAGAATCTGTGCCGAGAGTGCCGATGCGCCGATGACGAGGATGCTCGACTTTTCCAGCGAGCTCTGTCCTGACGACGCCCACAGCCGGAGTTGCCGATCGTAGCGTTGCGTGTGGGCCGAGGGGCGCTGCCCTGTGAGCGACGAGTCCGTGGGTGGAAGCGGATGCGCGCCGACGCTCGACATGATGACGGCAGCAGAGAGGTAGAGAGGGTTGTGATGGTCGATGAGAAACGTCGGTGTCTCCGACCAGCTTGCTGTCGACCTCCGCACGAAGACTTGCGAGGGTAGGTGGAGGTGTGGACCCGCCAAAATGCACTGCAGCTCAGCAAAACTCTCGAGCAGGGAGCACAGGCCAACGTACGCTTAGTCCGAATTGAGCGTGATTTTTTGGTGCAATTCCAGGACCCTTTTTTTCGGAACAATTTCTCAGCGACAGCAAGAAGACGCGTGGAGTGCTTTGGCTGGAAGGCACAGAGGAAAGTGTTGGTCTCTGCGGCGAGTGCGGGCCAGCTCAGGAAGCGTCGATTGTTCGCACTGCATTCCGTCATGCATCACCATCACACGCACACAACATCCGATTTATCGGCAGCATGTCGGGCACGCAGCAGCCGGACTCTTCGGCTGCGTCCGATGCGCGCTTGAGGCCTTCTGCCGTTGGATCATCGTCGCAAGGTCGCAAAGTGTCGTTCGAGCAGCTCGCCAGCACTTCGTCCAGCAGAGCGACCTCATCCGCCGTGGCCGCGCCGGGCGCATCGGGCAGCACATCATCCCTTTCGGCCTACTCGGGTGCCACCCGACGCCATTCGCTGTTTGGCACCGAAGACCGCATCATCCTCGACGTCGGCAGCCGATACTCCAAATTTGGCTTCAGCGGCGAGCCTCGTCCGCGCGCCATCGTACCCTCGGTCTCCTTCTCGCAGCCCTCGACGTCGTACCTTCGGCTCGATGCTTCGTCCGCCACTGCAGGCCTGTACGGCGCAGGCGACTCGCTGTGGGACGTCGACTTTGAGCGGTGCGCGGATAACCAGCTCCGACGCGGCAGGCGGGCGCTGTTGCTTGCGCAGCTCACGCAGCTGTTGCGCAGCGCATTCACGCAGCACCTCATGACGGACCCCAAGAAGCGAAAGGTGCTGGTGGTCGAGAACCCCATGCTGCCGAATGCAGTCAAGGACTTGATCTGCGAGGTGCTCTTCAACAATCTCCAGGTGCCGTCGGTTTCGTTCGTGCCTGCGCCGTTGCTCAGCGTGCTCGCCGTGGGTCGCATCACGGGCCTCGTGCTTGAGGTAGGCTACCTGGAAGCGACGCTCATGCCCATCTACTATGGTCGGCCGCTGGCGAGCCATGTGGCTACAACCGCGCGCGCGGGCCGACGGGTCAATGCGAGGCTCAGGCGTCTCTTGCTGCGCTACGCCAAGTTCGTCGCCGCACACACTGGGCTGCAGGACGCGACGAGGTCGTTGCGCGAACGCACACGCGATGTTGACCCAGCCATGCTCACCGATGAGCGCATCGAGCAGATCAAGGCAAAGGCGCTCTTTGTCGGCTCCTTCGAGCCGGCCCTGTCCGATCTGGCAGATGTCTTCTCGGTGCTCGAACTCGATCCTTCACACGCCACATTGGATGCAGGTGTAGAGCAGGAAGCAGTCTCGACGGTCCGCCGCAAGTACTCGGCTACTTCGAGCGCGACGCCGTTCACGTTTGGCGTGACGCCCGAGTCGATTGACCCCACCGGCTCCGCGTCGCTCATCCAGAGCGTACAGGCGCCAGCTCCGCATACGGGCTCGGCGTTGGGTGCGTCTGCGGCTCAGAGCGAGGTTGGGGTGATCGCGATCCCAGGCTGGGTGCGCGAGCGTGCAGCCGAGGTACTGTTCGAGCGCGGCGATGCCGACGAGCCGGGGCTGGTCGAGATGACTGTTGCAGCGATTGGCAAGTTACCCATTGACCTGCGGCGAGTCATGTGCGAAAACCTGCTCGTCTCGGGCGGCACGGCGATGCTGCCGGGCTTTGCACACCGCTTCCGCACGCAACTGGCTGCCGCGATCGAAGCGGCCGAGCAGCCGGGTGGAGCGCTCTCGGTAGACAGACACGCGCGTCGCATCGGCTCAACGACTCAGATCTCGGAAGGTACGCAGCGGGGTCGGGCGCTGTCCGGCTCCGTGGCGGTTCTCAACGATCCCTGGCCCGAGACGACGCAGGCAGCAGCAAGCAAAGAGGCTGGGCAAGGGCAGGGCGGGACGGCGCCCGCATTTGCGGCGAATCTGCTGCCGTACATGGGCGCATCGCTGGCGGGTGCGCTCAAGACCACGTCGCTCACCGCCATCTCACGCGAAGCGTACGACGAAGCCACGAACCCCGCCGTCCCCGAAGCCAAGGTAGAGGCTGCTGGTGGTGGTGACAAGGAGGCTCGGGCGGGCGAGGGCGCAAAGGCGTCCAGGCCGGGCATGCTTGGGGCGAGTAAGCGAGGCTCGTTCGTGGGCGTCGTGGGTGGGCTCGAGACGGGCGCGTACGGCGGACTGGCAGCTGTGAGTCGACACCTCGTCGGCATCCCAGGCACGAGCACGAGTAGTGACGACAAGAACAGCTGACCCCACGTCGTGCTGCACTTGAAAGAATCGAGTCGAGAATGGCGGTATGCTGAAAGAGGAGTGTGTGATTGCGTGTACGGATACAGAGAGCGTGAGAGATGACGAGAGACATTACTCGTTGATCTTGGCGAGGATCTCGGAGTCGCGAATGAGAAGGTACTCGTCCTCGCCGACCTTGATGGAGTTTCCGCCCCAGGATGGGAGGAGGACCTTGTCGCCGTTCTTGACCGAGGTGGGAACGATCTTTCCGTCCTTGTCGGGGGCGCCGGGGCCGGTGGCGATCACGCTAGCCTCGGGGAGGGGCGACGAGGCAGCGGAGGAGGGGAGGAAGAGACCGGACGAGGTCTTGGTCTCGGGCTTGAAGCGCTGCACGAGCACGCGGTCGAGCAGAGGCACGACCGACTTGATGGATCGGATGGTGGACTGGGTAGCCTGGAGTCGCCAAACAGGTCGCGGCCGGATGAAAGGAGAGGGTGCACGAGATCGACAAGGTCAGTAGGACAGCTCAGAGTCTAGCACGCCTGATCGCTGTTCCTCTGCTGGCATCCGCCGCGCTTGGTGCCATCGACACGGCTGCAGGCTGTTCGAAGCCAATCGATGCAGAAAAGGTACGTACCATGATGAGGATGTGTAGCGGTGAGGATGGTTGGAGGCAGTTGGTGGAGAAGAAAGGCTTGATCCACAAGAAGAAACACGAGCCTCACCCCACGTCCAGCAGCGGCTCGCTCGAAAATCCACCTCGGAACCCGGATAGAGCTCTCGGCAGCCAAAGTGACAGCATCAGCAGCGGCAAGACACACACACTCTCACACAAGAGTCACCCGTAACCGAGCGTTCCTCCAGCCATCCCACTCATTCGGACAGCTGCTGTTCTGTGCCATCAGCAGCTTGACCAGCTATTCCAGCGACACACTGTCTGCCGTGAGCGACACGCATGCTTTCCGCTTACGAGCTTCTACAGTAGATGCGGCGCTTCTCCACACCGGACAACCGCTCACATGGGCGAGTCTGAGGTCGAGCCTGGAACTTTCCAGAGCGGGTGTGAGGATCGAGCCATGACTGTCCGCTAAGCCCGGCAATGGCAACGAAATCGGACGAAACCGTGATCGAATCCATACAGGCGCTGAGCCGCTCTCGTCTTCTCGTAATCACAGCCGGCCCTGACTCGGCGAAAAGCCGGACAAAAGAAAAAGGCAAAAAAAGTAGACGCCCCACGCACACACGAAGAAGGTGGCGGAACAAAGCCGAAAATGGGCAAATCTTCCAGCCCTCGCTGCAATTTCCTAGCGGCCCCAGGTGGAGGAACAGAAAAGAAAAAAAAGAAAAAAGAAAAGAACCCTGGGTCGTGTGGCGAGTGTGAAGTCGAGACTCGGGCTGAGTCCAAGCCAATATTGAGAAGAAAGGAGAAAAGAAAAAGAAAAGAAAAAAGTCGGCATTGGAAGCCGTAAGAAGGCTCCGGGTCGTGAGGCTGAGAAGCTCGCATCGGCTCGAGCCAATCAAGTGGAGATGGCGGCTCCTTCCGATCGGGTGGGTGGCTTTGGACGTAGAAGTGCTGCCCCGGCAACCGAGCCTCCAAATCTTCCCGCCCGCCTCAGCCTGAGTCTCTCAGCGTTGGGCTGCGCTGCAACTCTACTTCTTCTCGCCCGCCAAACCCCACCCTGTCCTCGCCCGCTCAGCTCTGCCCGGCACAGACCGTGTTAAGCAAGCTTTGTCCAAAACGCTCTCCACCTTCTTCCCCTCCCCCCACATCACACACACGAAATCCCCCCCCCCCTCCTTCGTCCCGTCATCATGTCTCTCCTCCGCAACGCCGCTACCCCGGCCCGCAAGGCCGCCTCGAAGAACGGCCGCAGCTTCTCCACCTCGCTCGTCCAGAATGCGCACAAGGAGGTCAAGTTCAGCAATGACGGCCGCGCCGCCATGCTCAACGGCGTCAACCTGCTCGCCAACGCCGTCTCGGTCACCCTCGGACCCAAGGGTCGCAATGTGATCATCGAGCAGCCCTTCGGCGGCCCCAAGATCACCAAGGACGGTGTCACCGTCGCCAAGTCCATCACGCTCAAGGACAAGTTCGAGAACCTCGGCGCGCGCCTCGTCCAGGACGTCGCCAACAAGACCAACGAGATCGCCGGTGACGGCACCACCACCGCCACCGTGCTCGCCCGCGCCATCTACGCAGAGGGCGTCAAGAACGTCGCTGCCGGCTGCAACCCCATGGACCTCCGTCGCGGTGTCCAGGCCGGTGTCGACGCGGTGATCAAGTTCCTCGAGACCAACAAGCGCGCCGTCACCACCTCGGCAGAGATCGCCCAGGTCGCCACCATCTCGGCCAACGGCGACAAGCACGTCGGCCAGCTCATCGCCACCGCCATGGAGAAGGTCGGCAAGGAGGGCGTCATCACCGTCAAGGAGGGCAAGACGCTCGAGGACGAGATCGAGATCACCGAGGGCATGCGCTTCGACCGCGGCTACATCTCCCCTTACTTTATCACCGACGTCAAGACCGCCAAGGTCGAGTTCGAGAAGCCGCTCATCCTGCTCTCGGAGAAGAAGATCTCGGCGCTCCAGGACATTCTGCCTTCGCTCGAGGCCGCCGCACAGCTCCGCCGCCCGCTGCTCATCATCGCCGAGGACATTGACGGCGAGGCGCTCGCCGCCTGCATCCTCAACAAGCTGCGTGGCCAGCTCCAGGTGGCGGCCGTCAAGGCGCCCGGCTTCGGCGACAACCGTAAGAGCATCCTCGGCGATCTCGGCATCCTCACGGGCGCCCAGGTGTTCTCGGACGAGCTCGAGACCAAGCTCGACCGCGCCACGCCCGAGATGCTCGGCACCACGGGTGCCGTGACCATCACCAAGGAGGACACCATCTTCCTCAACGGCGAGGGCGACAAGGACCGTCTGGCGCAGCGCTGCGAGCAGATCCGCGCCGCCATCAACGACACCACCACCTCCGAGTACGACCGCACCAAGCTGCAGGAGCGTCTGGCCAAGCTTTCGGGCGGCGTGGCGGTGATCAAGGTGGGCGGCTCGTCCGAGGTGGAGGTGGGCGAGAAGAAGGACCGATACGACGATGCGCTCAACGCCACGCGTGCTGCTGTCGAGGCCGGTGTGCTGCCCGGTGGTGGTGTGGCGCTGCTCAAGGCTTCGCTCGCACTCAACGAGGTGGCGACGGCCAACTTTGACCAGCAGCTGGGTCTGTCGATGCTCAAGGCGGCGCTCACGCGTCCGGCGCGCACCATCGTCGAGAACGCCGGCGAGGAGGGCTCGGTCGTCGTCGGCCGTCTGCTCGAGAAGCCCGGCGACTTCACCTACGGCTACGACGCCAGCGTCGGCGAGTACAAGGACATGATCGCCGCCGGCATCCTCGACCCGCTCAAGGTGGTCAAGACCGCTCTCCAGGACGCTAGCGGTGTGGCGTCGCTGCTCACCACCTCCGAGTGCTGCATCGTCGAGGCACCCGAGGAGAAGGCTCCTGCGGGCGGCATGGGAGGCATGGGCGGTATGGGCGGCATGGGCGGCATGGGCGGAATGGGCTTCTGAAACTTCTGAAAGCCATCGCCCTTCTGATCGTTCCCTTCACATTGCCGTCTCGTACATCCAGCTCTTCGCGTCCTTTTTCTTCTTCTACATGTGTATTCTCATAGGTCCCTGCTTATTCCCCCCTCCTCTTTCCATCTTCGCCTCGGCTCGTATGCACAACACAACAGCCGCACCCAAAATGAATCACCACTTCTCTATCGGTATTCTTTACGAACGCGTTTTGAGCCACTCGCGGGCGCGCGCGAGTCGCTCGGCCTGTTTGCGCTTCTTTTCGACGTCGTCGTCAGGTTTGGATTGAGGCCGGGATTCGGTCGGAGGATCCGATTGTGGCTCGGCTTGCGGTGGTTCTGAATCCGAGTCGGAAGCGTACGCTACCAGAGCAGCATGGATGGGCTCAGCCAGCTTTCGGGCTGCGTCGTAGGGCAGGTCAGGCTGAGCCTTGAGGCGCGTCCATACGTTTGCCATGGCGCTCTGCTGCGGCGTGGGTCTGAGAAAGTCGAACCGTGCATCAATAGCGTGGTTGGCGAGGATCTTGAGCTCCAGTTGCGCCGGATGGTCCGACTCGGCCAGCACCCGAGCCGTCTTTCGCATGAGCTCAAATTGGGACCTTCCCAACGCACACTCCTCATCCTCCTCATTCTCCGAGGCGGGAGATGGGGATGGCGGCATTGCGGCGATACGGGCGGTGTGTTGTGCCTCGAGCCTCGCGCGTGCCCGGTCGTGGGCGAAGGCGGCAGCTTCCGAGTCGGTCAGGTAGAAAACATCTTCTGCATCGCTGTCCAAATCCGACCATCCCTCTTCCCCATCCTGTGCACTTTTGGGCGAAGATTTGGCGGGAAGTTCGGTGAGAAGGTGGACGGCATCAAAGCGGTCGCTCACAACACTGCGCCCATCCGTGCCTGTCCAAGTCACCAGCCGAGTCCCCCATTGCTCGCGCTCGCTTGACGTGGCGTCGGGTGCAAGATGCAGAGAGCGGTACAGCTCGGCGTCGTGATTGAGCGTGACTTCATACGAACAAGGATGTAGCTGCGTGCGTTCGGAAGGTTGCGAGGAGGCAGAGAAGATGTGCGACGTCTCAGAGGGTGACAAGCGGGCTCGTTTGGGAGGCGGACGCCGCGACATCCCGAAAGATTTGCGAAGGAGTGGTAAAGGCGAATGGTCAACACTGAGCTTCGACAGGCAGCCCAAAAAAATACTCCACCTCCGCATCCCGACATTCCGCCCGTCTTCCGACTTCGGACCCTTGACAAACGCTTTCACCCTTCCTCATCCGCACTTCAACCACGGCCGACCACCGCCGCAAGAGCATCGACCCGGGAAGCAAGCACTGCACAGCGATTCAGCTCCGATCCCAAGACCGGACCGACCCGCTGCATCTGGGCGCCATGTCGGACTTTTACGTCCGCTACTAGTATGTCCGCCCCCTTCCCTACCGCTCTCCTCTATGCATCTGCTGACACTGCTCACTCTTTGTTGCTTCAGCACGGGGCACCAGGGTCGACACGGACACGAGTTCCTCGAGCTCGAATACTCGCGTGGCCGTCTGCGCTATGCGAACAACTCGAACTACCGCAACGACAGCCTCATCCGCAAAGAAAGTGAGTCCCCCGATAGCCCTGCGCAACGGCTTCCGGACCTAGCTGAAACCGTTTCGTTTGCCGTTGCTACAGTGTGGATCTCGCCAACCATGGTTGCGGAACTGCGACGCATCGTAGAGGATAGCGAGATCATGCGCGAAGACGACGCCAAATGGCCCAAGAAAAACTCGACCGGTCGCCAGGAACTCGAAGTGCGCCTGGGCAACGACCATATCTCATTCGAAGTAAGCATGCCACATTCGCAAGAAGAAAGCGGAGATGGGAAGATGCTGATCCTCCTGTTGCGTCCATTGCATGCCGGTTCGTGCGCTGCAGACCGCCAAGATCGGATCGCTCGTCGATGTGCAGGACAGCGAAGACCCAGAAGGCCTGCGTGTCATGTACTACCTCGTCCAGGATCTCAAGGTAAGTCGCCCAGCCGCCTCTTTCATCCCAATCGACTGCCAAAGAAGGGCTGTCAAGATGTACTGACTTGTCTTTGCTTCGCTCTCGGTGGCTGCAATTGTGGCTCGTCAGTGCCTCATCTTCAGCCTCATCTCGCTGCACTTCAAGATCAAGCCGATAGCCTAGGCTCTCCGCTCTGCCACCTGTACTTTTAGATCCGCCGACGAGTTTGCACACGATGCACGTACGACAGTGCTCGCTCGAGCGAATGTGTGTGCTCGAAAGATGTTGCAGTGCATGACGCCGGGCGGGTGCGGAAGGAAAGGCGAAGGCGATCTCCCGATTTCGGTAGAGAATCGCCGATGGAGAAGTCACCGTTGGCCCCTGCGCCTCGGAACGCGCGACGCGTCAGGCTCGGCTGGAGACTCGAGCTTTGAAAATCCAAAACAAAAGAAACGCAGATCTCACCTTCTAAAATCACAATCGCCGTCCTGAGCCTCTGGCCGCTTTGGTCCCGCTCGATGTCGCTTCCACCGACGCGCAACCAGCGCAATCTCGACCGATCTCTGCACGAACACCGCCTACTCAGACCTCTTGTCTCGCTCAGTGTCGTCTGCTGATGAATATGCTTAGGTATCACAGTGCAGACGTGCTGGGGAATTGGGCAGTGGATGTGGGCAAGGCGGAAAACCACGTTCCACGTCGCACAGGCAGCGAGCGGGTGGGAGTACGAAATTCCGGGCGCAGACGCAGGTGCAAGAGCGAGGAATGCGCTCTATCTTTGCCATGCTTGTGAATTCAAACGGCTAGCGAGCATGGGCTGCGAATACAAGACGCGACTTGGCGAGTGTATGGCCGAGCCAATTCAAATCGCAACCGCTTCAAGGGCTGGGGAGCAGAGCAGCAGCACCTGCGCGAGGGTGCGATGGGGGAAAAAAAGAACAACACTTTAGCCTCCCTCGTCGGCACCCGAGCCCAGGAGGTCCAGCTTCGAAATTCGCAAGTCGAGAGAGAGGGAGCGAGGTGCGTGCGCTGGGCTAGGCTTGGTTGGGCGTGCGTGTGTGTGTGATGCCTGCCTTTGAGAGAGAGAGTTAGACAGAGAGGCTTTGCCCCCGCCCCCGATTGCCCGCACGCGCGCGCGCGCTGGCTGGCTCGAGTTGGATCGTCGCCAGTCCAACACTTTTTCCTTCGCCCGCCGCCCCGAGCGCTCCCAAAGTCGCCACGCAGCCCAAACTCGTCTCTCGTCTCGCCGCGCGTGCTGCTGCTGCTGCTGCTGCTGCCTGTGCGAAACTCGAACCATCATCCCGAGTTGCATCCTCCGCTGCCACCACCATCCTCCGGCACATCCGACTCTCTTCACCCTAACCCCCTTTCCTTCCTTCCCTTCACGCCCTCGTTTCGCATTCGCGCCGGTCACTCCCACCCGCGCTCAACACAGTAAGCTGTAAGTGGCATAATCACAAGCGAGGCGGTCGCACTGCAGGTCATTCGAACAATACCATCGACATCCATCATCGCCACCGATCATCAGCACCAATCCTCGCCACCAATCATCACCAGGCCTACCGCCTTCATCGCCACTCGACGCTCTTCAGCCACCTTGGTCGCATGTCGACGATCACCGTCTCATCTCAGCCCTCATCGCTCATGGTCGCCAGCAAGTGTCATTGAGCGGTCTCGTCGTCGCCGCAGCAGGCCCTCTGTAACTGCATGCTGCTCTCTTCTAGAGCTCCTGGAGATTCACAGTCGTGCGCATCACTCACGATCAGGAGAGCTGCGCCCTCGTCACACCGGTTGTCGGATCGCACCTCACCGCCACCGCCATTGACTTTGCAGCCTCGATAGAAAATCACGGGCCAACCCAGTGCATCACGCCTTTGTCCACCAGACCGACAACAACGACCAGCATCGGTGTCTTGATCGCGCTGACTGCCCCGCCCAGTGTTGCCGCACCATCCCATCGAATATGTGCACTAACCTTACTCTACGTCGCTCCGTGCCTTGTCATCGCAGAACTTCAAATCGTAGGATCCCCATTCGAACCCATCTTCTAACCGTCCTTCAAGATGCGCGAGATCGGTACGTGGCCGCCTTTCGATACGGATTGCTCGACATCGAGACCACTAACCCGCTCCGCTTGCTTTGACTCATACAGTCCACCTTCAGACCGGTCAGTGTGGTAACCAGGTCGGTACCAAGTTCTGGGAGGTGCTCTCGGACGAGCACGGAATCGACCACAACGGTAACTACATCGGCACCAGCGACGACCAGCTCGCGCGCATCAACGTCTACTACAATGAGGCGAGCGGCAACAAGTACGTGCCGCGTGCCGTGCTCGTCGATCTCGAGCCCGGCACCATGGACTCGACGCGTTCGGGCCCGCTCGGCGGCCTCTTCCGCCCCGACAACTTTGTCTTTGGCCAGTCCGGTGCCGGCAACAACTGGGCCAAGGGTCACTACACCGAGGGTGCCGAGCTCGTCGACTCGGTGCTCGACGTCATCCGCAAGGAGGCCGAGAACTGCGACATGCTGCAGGGCTTCCTGATCACCCACTCGCTCGGCGGTGGTACGGGTGCCGGCATGGGCACCCTGCTCATCTCCAAGATCCGCGAGGAGTTCCCGGACCGCATGATGGCCACCTTCTCGGTGCTGCCGTCGCCCAAGGTGTCGGACACGGTGGTGGAGCCGTACAACGCAACTCTCTCGGTGCACCAGCTCGTCGAGAACTCGGACGAGACGTTCTGCATTGACAACGAGGCGCTCTACAACATCTGCTTCAAGACGCTCAAGCTCAACGCGCCCACCTACGGCGACCTCAACCACCTCGTGTCGCTGGTGATGTCCGGTGTGACGACGTGCCTGCGATTCCCCGGTCAGCTCAACTCGGACCTGCGCAAGCTGGCGGTGAACATGGTGCCGTTCCCGCGTCTGCACTTCTTCATGGTGGGCTTCTCGCCGCTCACTGCGCGCGGCTCGCAGTCGTACCGCGCCGTGACGATCCCCGAGATCACGCAGCAGGCATTCGACAGCAAGAACATGATGACGGCGTGCGACACGCGCCTGGGCCGCTACCTGACGTGCGCGGCGTACTTCCGCGGCAAGGTGTCCATGAAGGACGTCGAGGACCAGATGCAGAGCTTCCAGCAGAAGCACTCTACGCAGTTTGTCGAGTGGATCCCCAACAATGTGCAGACGGCGCAGTGCGACATTCCGCCGCGCGGCCTCAAGATGTCGGTGACGTTCATCGGCAACTCGACGGCGATCCAGGACGTGTTCAAGCGCATCTCGGAGCAGTTCTCGGCCATGTTCAAGCGCAAGGCCTTCTTGCACTGGTACACGGGCGAGGGCATGGACGAGATGGAGTTCACCGAGGCCGAGTCGAACCTGCAGGACCTCATCGCCGAGTACCAGCAGTACCAGGACGCCTCTGCGCTCGACGAGGACCTCGAGGGCGAGTACATCGAGGAGGAGGAGCTTGTCCAGGAGTAAGCTCTCGATCCAAGGCTCTTTTCCCCTTCAAGATGGGCCAGGTCCCTCCTTCCTTCCCTTCATTTCCTTCCGATTCTCTCTTCTTCTTCTTCTCTTCTTGTTCAAGCTGTTGAACGCGCGGGCAGGCATGGACGGCTGCGTCAAAGCAGGGATGCGAATGCATCCGTGGGCTGGCGTAGCCGTTGTGTTTGCGGACATGTACTCTAAAGCCGACTACGTTAGGGCGGGTAAGTGGGACTCGAACTCGGCCGCCGTCACGGCACGTGGCTTTCCGGGCTCTTGCCGGAGGAGCTTTCGTGAGCGTCAAGCTGGCTTTGGTCGTGCCTGAGACCGCCCGCACCCGTCGAGCGTCGTTGGCATCGACTCGAGAAAAGGCTGCTCCTGCCCCGTGTGTTTTTGAATTTTTCCCTTTGTGATCACCCACCGCGCGAACCGAAACGAAGATGATTCCGCCTTTTCGCTCGTGTGTGCGCGAAGTACAATAGTGTGAATGGCGGTTCGATTGCAGAGCAGCGGGCAGCAGAAGCGAGAGCGAGAGAGCGAGAGACGCGGGCGGAGGATGTGAGACAAGGCGGCTGGGATGTTCGAGAGATGCGGGGAAGCCCAGGGATGCAGGTGTTTGGGCTGGGCGGTGACGGAAGGATTGGCTCG